ATTGAACAACTGCAACCTGTGTCAGAAACATTTCCCTTGAACAATGGTTCATTAAACAGTGGTGAATAATATTCACAGCAATGCGCGTTTGTCTTAACAAGACCCAGAAAATGTATTTGATGTCATTGCTAGTAGTTGCTGCCTTTAAAAAAAAATTAATTTAAAAAATACACCGTTTTTAAGCATTTGGATTAGCAGCAATATATGTTTTTGTGGTGTTATTGTTTGCGCATTAATTTGATTGGTCCATTTTTTTAATTATTTTTTTTTAAATTTTTTTTTTGTTTCTAGGAAGTTACTTAAAGCACTAAAGGGGTCGTCCATTAATTACGTCCAACAATTTTTAAACAATTATTGACCCCCACCGCCCCCTATGTCAACACCTGTTAAACTTTCATTGACCCCCACCCCATTTAATTATGTCAACATTTTCTAGCCCCCCCACCCCCCTCTACCCCCTCCAACCTCTTTCCTTCCACCCCCACAAAAAAAAAAGGAATTGTATCATAAATAAATTTATAAATACATTTTACTTTGTGCTGATCTACTTTAAGGACAATACAATTGTAGGAAAAACATTTTATTACATCTTTAGCTTGTTAGTCAACAAGTTAAGAAGTTTTTACACTTAAATTTTATAATGCAGAATTAATTAAAAGGTGGTTAAAGACTAAATATCATTTTGTGTGGTATAAATATGATTGTTTTCAGTAAAGCTGACACTTATAGTAGGCCTATAGTTTCTAGCTGCTATCATCTTCCCAAGGAGTAGCCAGGTTCGCTCTATTGGAACAATGGGCATCAGGGACATCATTTGGGTAGGGCAGGGGGCATTTTCCCCCACTCCCTAATTTTAACGTTTTATTTAAATTGCTATGTACTGTGGCGTCTCCAGTAATAAACAACTTAATAAGCCGACCAAGTTTTGGTTTTGTCCCTCCCCCCCCCACCCCTGAAAAAAACATGAAATGGCGCCCCTGATGGGCATAGTCCATAGTAGCTGATTGATCATTTTCATCTTGCGGCATTGATATACCAGACAAGTCAACATCATCCTCATCTAACCATTCAGCACTTAAAATAGAAGCATTGTCGGTGTGAGCAATAGTTAGAGAGAGAGAGAGAGAGAGCTTATGGCAACTATTGCTCACACCGACAATGCTTCTATTTTAAGTGCTATCCATAAGCTCTCTCTCTCTCTCTCTATCTCCTTGCGGCTACTCGCATTAGTCAAATCCTTTTTTTTTTGTTTTTGTTTTGTTGAGGAGCAGGTGGTAGCTTCTTATGCTCAAGAGGGCATTGTCGGTGCTGGGGAACATGCAAATCCGTTCAAGCAGCGATGCTATTATTGTTACTCACGCTACATTCACCTAATTCTCAAAACATCGTATTTATATTCATTCAATATCATTTATCTTGACTGCACATGACACTTGAACCTTGTCCTTGTTCCATACCTGCAACAGAATCTACAGGGGAAGAGAGGCCAACTTGTGACTTCTCTTGCACTAACGAAGTGCGCTAAATTCTGACCAGCCATCTGCGGTGCACAGACACACATTAAATAAATATTATATTGTTAAATGCCTTAAAAATTATATGATTATGTACACTTATAAATTTTTTTTCAATAATGTAATAAACTTTTTTGTTGAGGAACAGGTGCTAATTTCTTATGCTTAAGAGGGTATTGTCGGTTCTGTTTCAGCATGCTTGTGATGCAAAATAGATGTTACAGACTTTGCAAATCTGTTCAAGCAGCGGTGATTTTATATTTATTTATTATTATTATTGTTGCTCACTTGACTTAAAATCTATTAAAATTTTAATAGAGAAAACATGATTGTTGACGTCAACCCCCTGTTGTCAACAACTGTCAAACATTTCCACCCCGCCCCCCCCCCTTTTTCTATTTTGTTGACGTAATTAATGGACACCCCCAAAACTTAACTGTCTAATTATTTTCAATTTTTAAATAATAATTTATTCGGGTGAAGAGGGTTTGCGGAAAATGTTTATGGTTTGAGATTTAGAGTTGATGTAGTGCTGCAAAAAACTTTAAGAATCACTGCCCTTGAAATTTACTTAAATTCTTTCCCTAACCCCACGTCAACCATTTTTCGTCCCATCCCACTTTACGTGACAGTCCTAATTCTATGACTACCGTCTCCACGTTTCCACATAAATTCTCATGATTGCATTGTCACTGCACCCTGGTGCTCCTCCTCCGTGGCCTCCTCTAACTTTATCAGAGCAATATTTTGGACATCGCATCCTACACATACTCATACTGATTCTCTCAGTGATCGTAGTTTTAAGATAACATTATTTTAATTGTAGTATAAAAAAAATAATTCTTAAAATGTCTGAAACTTGCAGCTATTCCGTTAAATGCTTTCAATAATTTTCCACTTTTTTTTTTAAATGTATGTGGCGTCCCTGTAACATCCCGCCGCATTCAAGTAACTGGCTTAATAAGATACCCGGTTACCAACCACACACCTTTTTTCATGCCCCTGAACTATATTGATATTCTTATGTCTCATCCCATATTTATACCGCAGATTTATAATAACACGATCGGCTAAGAGAACTCACTGGATGGCTGTTTGAGATAATTTATTATAAATGTCTTGTCTTCCAATTGTTTTATTTATGTGCTGAAGATGTATAATGCGATCAAAAAAACATTTCCATTTATTTGGATCAATAAAAGAATCTTATCTTATCTTATCTTATCTTTTTCAAAGTGATGCTATTTCCGTAAAACAAAAGAAAATATTGCGTACCAAACGCACAGGCAGTATTTTTAATAATCATATTTAGCGCAGTTATCGGGAATTGTATTTCGTGAAATCAATGGCATCTGGTAGTGTTCAAACTGATTTTTTTGTGGGGTTTGGGGATGGGATTTGAAAATTTGACAGAATGTGTTGTCATCGGAAACGAGTCTATGTGCCAAGTTTCAGCAGGATGACGGAAGTGGGTTAGTTAGCCATCCGTATATTTTGCCTTAAACACGCGAACAAAAGCGAAGTTAATATAAAGCAATTTAACAAATCCACTAATTACAAGTGTGTGCTCAAAATGACGTCTTATGTTTTAAACATATTTATAGAAGAGCAAATACTTTTAAAATATCTATTTGCTCTGGTATATATCGATTTAGAAATGTAACCGTTTTTACTTATATTTTGTCTATATATGCCAATTGGATTATCAATTTATCGTTTGTCATATGACTGTCACATTGTAATTTATCTGTGAGCTTGGGAGAGAAACACAAATGTTCCGCCCCAAGGCAAATGAACGTCGGATATGGCTACCTTTGACTTTAGTCCCGGGTCGCGTAGCCACTCCAGCCCACCACTGGCTAAAAACATCATTGATCAACGGGCGATTGCCGATTAATCGGCCAATTTGCTGATCGTTGCAACACCTACAGTTAAGAATTTGTTTCTTCACAATTACAGCATTTGTCTATGCCTAGGGGGCATCCATATCACGTACTGAGGGGAGGACATTTTGGGTATACGGGGGACCAAAAATTGCGGATATAATAAGGGGAAAAGGGGGTGTCTAAAATTAGACTTTTTCTGGTAAGTGTTATGTTAGATCTTTAGAGGATGTTGTAATATTAAGCAATTAAGAGAGTTTTCACATTCTTCCACCGGGGTGTGTGTGTGGGGGGGGGGGTGTACCAACCCCTTCTATTTACTATATCTCAAAGACCATTTAACTTATACAGATATAGTGAATTCTTAGATAGACGAGACTAATCATGAACAGACACTGTAGGTCCGGATTTTAAAAAAGAAACTTATATTGTGGTCACGCCTTGGTTTGAATCGCATTCCCAATTGCGCCCTTGTTCGCCGGCACCGTTCGGGGCCATTTTAAGTAGGAGCAAATACGCCTTTATATTTTTGTTTTTTGTAGAATGCCCCTGTCAGGTGTAAGCAGTGAACGATTTCGGGCAATGACTTATATTAGCCAGCGTTTTAATCGCTCGTTGACTCGTATGGTTGAACACACCGCCGTAAGCTGAATTCTTGCATTGTATTAGATGGCAATGTGTACGTCTGCATAATACTAACCGTTACATTGTTCTGGTTACACACACTGAAATGTACTTATAAGCGATTGATACAACAGTGTCCAGCCTGCGAATATGCTTAAAACATTTGTAGTAACTGTCCTGCCCTGTGCTAAATTCTCTTAAAGGACATGGTGCGTGTGCTATAGCCTAACAATAACAGCAATGCGGTTTTGTCTTATAAAGACACAGCGATTGATTGAAACAACGTATCAAACTAATGGTTGTTGTACTTTATCGCATTGTAATTGTAGTAACCGTCCTGCTATGTGTGCAATTTATATTGACATCATACATGGACAACAGCAATATCTAGACCTGTATGCTAGCCTTCACATCTCACACTGATTCTGAATATAAGACGGTGTACATGCCACGTGATTTATTTCATAAGTAAACATGAATTAAAAGAATAAGTTCCATAGTCATTTGTATAACAGGAACTATACGGTCATCATGCATCTGCATTGTTAGTTAAAGTGTGTTTATTATAACAAGTAAAGGCAGAGTTATTCAACCGCCCTTTTCTTCGTAGTTTTTTTCTTCGGATTTTTCTTAGGTATTTCCTTTTATCGCTCCTTTTTATATAAAACCATAAGAACAAAATAAAAGGCTATAACTGCTTTCAGTATAGTTCTCGAGTCTCGGGACTTGAATTTCTTGAGTTTATTAACTAAATATAATTAAAACAATCAACTGTCACTCACCAAATGGCTACAGATAAATAAGGATAATTTATTTATAGTATTAAATCTAAAGCTGATTCAATTTATTGTTTTTCAAATTGATATGTGAATTAAAAAAAAAAACACAATAATTTAAAGATAGATGTCATTACCATTAGGAAGATAATATTTTATTTTGTTTCGTTTCAGATTTATTTTTTAATGGTTCCCCCAATTTCATGTAACATCCTTTTCCGGTTTTGAAAGCCGTGTAATGGATTGATCTTAGGTAGACTTCCATAATTTATCAGTCTTAATCATTGGTATAGGATAAAATTAGCAAAATGTCGCAAGAACAGATGACTTTGAGGGGTACCCTCCAAGGCCATGGTGGATGGGTTACTCAAATTGCAACTAACCCTCAGTATCCAGATACCATTCTATCAGCATCGAGAGGTAAATCGTTGAATTCATTTGTTTACAAATGGGCTAACATTCTTTTAGTAGTACAATGTAAAATATGTGTCCTCATATTTGATTTTGTATCGAAGTTGTTGCCTATATTTCTTTTTTGGAGAAAGAAGTGTGAGAAATAAAATTTAGCCTATGGGTCTGAACACCTACAAAACTGAAGTAAGTTAGTTTAGCTGAACTGAATTTCTGAAGACATTGTCTCACTATCACTAACGGGAACCGTGCAGTAGAGACTGGTAGAGGTATTATTGGTTTTTTTTGCAATCGTAGAAAATGTACAGTGGAAAAATAGCTGGCTGGTGAACCAATAGGCCCTATTCTTATTAGCCAGAGAAATTTTAATTAAATACAAACTGATCAAACTGCAAAAAAATAGTATCATTGAATAGAAAGTGCAAACCAAATAAAAAAAGGCATGGCATAGGCAATAGAGCTATTTTCCACTCCTGCCTAGGCAACTTAGTCCTCCCATATTCCCACACAAAAGTTGCTATACAACCCTAAGCAAGCTTGTCAAAAAATTCATGCAGCAGCCTAACTCACTCCGAAGCAAGACTTCTAAAGTTAACTGCTGCTGTTTTGAGATCACCATTCTTTTTGAAAATATTATCTTCCTTCATTAGTAATACTAGGACTTTGGTATAATTCTTTGAAGTGTCTACACGTCCGGCGCGCCGGACGTGTAGTGCGCAAGATACACGTCCGGCGACTTGTCACGTGACCGCCGGACATGGCCGGACGGCTAGTAGTTTTTATAATTCCAAACGAAGTACGATTTTTGTCTACACGTCCGGCGCGCCGGACGTGTAGTGCGCAAGATACACGTCCGGCGACTTGTCACGTGACCGCCGGACATGGCCGGACGGCTAGTAGTTTTTATAATTCCAAACGAAGTACGATTTAGTAAATCTTGTCTGGTCTTGTGGTAGAGTGGTTGCTTGACGATAGGAATGTTTGAGGATCTATACCGGGAATAGGGTCGTTTTTTTTCTTCCCATTTTAATTAAAATATTTTGTATATATTTATATTATCATGTTCCTCTGCAACAGTAGTTTCATGAGAAGTTTTTAAATATTTTGTAGCAATTGAAATAATTTAAAATGAAATCTTTAACTTTTATTGGTTGCCACACTGGCCCCTAATTTATTTTATGGATTACTGGTACACAAAAAATAACAAACTAAACAAAAATGTTTACAAGCCACTTTCACTTAAGTTTCTTTTTCTATTATTTGCATTCAAGATACTCAGTACATTACTTGGTAGAGAAATAGATTTTAAAATTAACAATAGTTTTGAATTATTTGCAGTCACGTGACAAGGCTGACCGACACGATATCTCTCGCCACTTTGTTACGGCGGTCATGTGACTTGGTCGCCGGACACATAGTGCGGGAGATAGACGTCCGGCTAGACACTGCCATAATTCTTAGCCTGATTCTTAAATAAATATGCACGCCAAAATTGCTTGTGTTTCGATTAGTTGAAATCAAAATACCTGTATTTTGAAACTTGGGTGACAAAAGAGAGACTATGCTTAAATTGCATTTGAAATGATCTTCTAGGGACTGAGTGGGGAGACCCCTCCCTTCACTAAGTACCAAAATAAGAAACAGACACCCTCTGGGGAGGGGAGACACCACCCCCAGAACCCCTCCCCAATTTACAAAAAAATATAAATTAAAAAGATAACTTGCATTATGTGAATACAAAACATCGAAATCTTTTAAGCATGGTGCTGTAGACTGAAATGGACCTGGGGAACCTCCGCGACCTATATACCGTGGAACACATTGTCGGCCTTAAAGCTAACTCAGCAGAATGTTTTAATACAGTATGTACTATCTGGAGAGGCATCCCCCCCCCAAACCACACAACCGCATACGGGAAATCTAAACCCCCCCCCCCTTCAGTGTGTATGTACTACTTGGATTGGCCCCAGATTGACTAAAATTGGCACTAGGAGGGAACACTTTTTAATACAGTATGTACTATCTGGAGAGGCATCCCCCCCCAAACCACACAACCGCATACGGGAAATCTAAACCCCCCCCCCCTTCAGTGTGTATGTACTACTTGGATTGGCCCCAGATTGACTAAAATTGGCACTAGGAGGGAACACTATGATCATCACCACTATCATGACAAAAATTTGGCAAATATGTGAATATAATATAATTATTGATGATCCCCAACCAATCGTATCAGTTGATTCATTCACTTCTGGGTGCAGAATGCAAATTAAAACTAAAAACGGAAAATGAACTTTTTAAATATTAAAAAATATTTCAGGTTAGGCATAGGGATACATTTAGTTTAGGTTAAGCGACAGAATTAACTGATTGTGTCAACCAAGATGGCGGAAACCCAGGGGCGATCTCTCCAAATTTACCAAATCGACATATTGCAGCAAAATATAAGTTGAGTTATAGCTAATTGTTCCATTGTGCGTATACATATTTTTGAGGCATGTTTTTTTCCAGACAAGAGTCTTATCCTTTGGAAGTTGACAAGAGATGAAACCAATTATGGTGTTCCATATAAATCACTTCATGGACATGGGCACTTTGTAAGCGATGTTGTTTTGTCCTCTGATGGCCAGTTTGCCCTTTCATCTTCTTGGGACAAGACTCTTCGTTTGTGGGATTTAGTCGAGTAAGTGCTGTGACAGTTTTTAAAAAATATCACATCAACATCACAGGTTATCTTAGGTCTTTGATTTAAATGTCACTAATTTCGGGGTGGTACAGTAAAGTTTAATTCTTTATTTAAATGATGGCTTGACCAAAAGATTTCAAAATAATTAAAAATGGGTACCTGAGAATATCTAGAACATTTATCTTTCATAATATTACCCAGTAATAGTTATTAGGTTTGAAATTCACTCATGTCTAAATTTTAAAAAACTTTGGGTATGATAGGCACTTCGGGTATTTGAGCTGTTAATTTTGAATAGCTAATTTCAATAACCATATTATTTTTTTATTATTTTTTTTTTTGAAAGAGGAAAGACTACACGCCGTTTTGTAGGACATGAAAAAGATGTTTTGAGTGTGGCTTTCTCAGCTGACAACAGACAGATTGTATCTGCATCACGTGACAAAAGCATTAAGCTTTGGAACACCCTGGGTGTTTGCAAGTACACAGTGCAGGTGATAATAAAATTACTTTCAGAATTAACTGCATATGTTAATTGCCAAATGATTACACATTTTTCATAATTTATTTGATGAAAGTTGTTCTGCAATTATGATGGCAAATGGTCATTAAATCATTACTCGGTAATTCGCACCATAATTTAAATAATTTAATCGAATGAATTATTCAAAATCCTATTAAATTATTTTTTATGTAGGAAGATACTCACAAGGACTGGGTTTCATGTGTCAGATTCTCACCCAATGCTTCCAACCCAATCATTGTGTCTTGTGGTTGGGATAAAACTGTCAAGGTAGGTGCATTGGAGACCTCAATATTAATTTTAAACGCACCCTGATGATTATGAATAGATCATAAATTAAATTTGATGATAGTTGTTCTGCAATTATGAATGCACATTAAAGTGAATTTAGAAAAAAATGTTTAACTGAGTGTGTACTATGTTAGTTGCATACTATTTTTATTTTTACCCAGTGATTTGGTAGATCACATGTTAGGGTTTGTGCCTATTAAATTCATATTATTATACTTTCAAATCCTGATTTGTTTCCATTATCATTATGGCTGAGTGTGATTGTTAATGTATAAATTTAGATATATCGGAATATAGATTTTGTGTTGGAAGAAAAATATTAAAGTTGTTTCATACACTCAATAACAATGGCTTGGCACCAGCTTGTGTTACTGCATGAAATTTAATTCTACACTACACCTTTAGTTTCTGCTCACGCCTTTCTATTCTTTCTCAATATCGTCATAATTAAAACCCTTGCTGCCTGATGATTATGAATAGAGCATAATTAAATGTGATGATAGTTGTTCTGCAATTATGAAGGCATAAACAAATTTATTTCTGTTTAACTAGCTACTCTTAAAATTATGCATCTTTCTTTAATTGACAAGTATTTGAACACAATGCATTGTGTGAATTAAAATATTGGCACCAGTGATTTCAAAGTTGATAATATGATGATGGTTACATTATGTCGGCCTTAATTAAAATAAGCATGTGATAGAGGAGAGGAGATGATTCCATGTATTTTTTTCGTGTTGAGCCCAGAGCCAATGCATGACTTTTGAAGGCCACTTATCAGTTTTATGACCCTACATGCAAAGTTGATACTGGTAGTTTAAATATTTTTCCCCATCAAAGCTTTCTAAGCCTTTGGCATGATTTTCAGGGTCCCTGTGACTGCTCCATGTTTGGTATTAAGCTATTGAAATCTTCACAGTATTGAGATTTGTGTGCATGGCATTAGTTGTATCTTTATGTGACGTTGTCACAGAAAGCCATCGGTTTACCTATTATTTTATGGTTCAAGATCTTAATCTTAAAAAACATCCTGGGTGTTAGATCACTTGTGTTAACATCTATAATTTTGAAAGGAATTAAAGGTGTGGAATAACATCTGACTCAATGTATATTCATATATATTTGTAATTGTCTCCAAAGGTATGGAATTTGACCAACTGCAAGCTCAAGACCAATCACTTTGGCCACACTCAGTTTTTGAACTGTGTAACTGTGTCACCTGATGGATCACTTTGTGCTTCTGGTGGCAAGGTGGGTGTTGCTATATATTAACCCACTCCTGTTTCACCTATGTAAAATATCTCTATGCCCAAGCAAAGGGCCATAACAACTGCTAGGAAAGTACAGTAAACAGTTATAAATACAATTTGAAAATATTTTTTAACCATATCAGAAAAAATAAATACATTAAACATTCACTGATTAAAATCTCTTGTCAAGTCTTACAACTACTGATTTTTTAGAATTTAAAAAAATATAATGGTTAATGAGAACTCAGGTGATCAGATTATATTTTTCTTAGTCTTCAAGACAGTTTTTAGAGTCATTGTGTGTAAACACAAAATTCAATATGATTAAAACACATAATACATTAAATGTTTCTATTGCATTATATCATGCACCTAGTTTGTAAATGATTAGTTTATTTTCTCTTTCCATATTTTAGGATGGTCAAGCAATGCTTTGGGATTTAAATGAAGGCAAGCACCTTTATACTTTGGATGGTGGTGATTGCATCAATGCCATGTGCTTCTCACCTAATAGGTACTGGCTTTGTGCAGCTACTGGGCCCAGTATCAAGATCTGGGTAAGTATTCCGACTCTTTCATATCTGAGCCTTTTCTCTTCTCTTTCTTGTTCACATAGGGATTCAATAAGATAATTGCCCTCATGGATTTTGAAGGAAAAGTTGTACTTTTTTAAGGTCACAACTTGATATTTTGGTTTTTAAATATATCTGACAGATCAAAACATAGCTTGGTCAATTGTTTTTTAATTATTGGGTGTTATGCCCATCAATATTTTTAAGATGCTTAGAGCAGTGGTTCTGAACCTGGGGGGTCGCACGACCCTTTTACAGGGGTTGCCTAAGACCATCTGAAAACACATATACTCCAGTTATAAAGTATTAAAGAAAATAATTTTGTGGTTAGGGGTCTCCACAACATGAAGAAATGTATTAAAGGTTGAGAACCACTGGCTTAGAGGTATGTTTTGATTCTTTAATTTAACCCTTTTTGTGCGATTCTTTATAGCACCTTTCTGCAGTGTCCTTTCTAATATGATTGGCATGCTTTCACAAAGGTGTTAAAGTATATGGTATTTTTAAATTTTGTGCCATTCACAGTGGTACTTTTAAGCTTACCAACATTGAATTAAGCCTCCGGCAATTTAAGGATTTCATTTTAATTTTTTTTCTGAGCTCCACATGTAATTAAAAGTAAAACCATTTTTTCAGGACCTGGAAGGTAAAGTTATTGTTGATGAATTGAAGCCTGATGTAATGGCAGCTGGAGCTGGTCGTGAACCTCCCCAATGTCTATCTCTGGCATGGTCATCTGATGGACAAACACTGTTTGCTGGTTACAGTGACAAACTTATCCGTGTGTGGCAAGTCTCCATGGCTGCTAGATAAATCTTTCCCTAAGAATGTTCTAGAGGAAGCTACCAAGTCAATGTAAAAGAAAGTTGTATTAAACAATGAATACCATGAGAGTCTATTTTATTACATTGTAATGTTTTGTTATTGTAGGCTTGTTTTGAAAATAAGAAAACTTAAACAATACATTTTTGCAGAGTTACAGTTAAGTGAACACTTGTACTTCTAAAGTAACCTGTTGATCTGATGTGTTTCCTATAGCTTATTTGGTACTACTAACCATGGTCATTTATTTAACCATACACTGGAGAAAAGGGAGTGGGTGAAATCATTCATTTCTAAAAGAACAGGGATCAGCAACCTACAGCTCCTCTTACATTTATGGAATGTTGAAATAATAGATGCAGTTCTTTTTTATATTTAATTTTATACAAATCTATTACCATGAAATGGGGTGACTTTGCCTATATTTTGCCATTATGAATAAATTTCAACATGTTAGCTGATCTTAAAACTAACACAAAGGTGCTAATGTACTTAGTGGGTATCTGCACTTTGTTGTTATAAATATAATTGAAGTCATGGTTTGATCAGTTTAAGTTGATAATTAAGATTTTTTTAGATTTGTCAACCCAAGGAAAGATGGGGTGACTTTGCCCTTTTAAAAGACAGCACAATGTATGTAGAATTTATCAATGCAAACAATTCATTCACTTTCTTTACTGTTTGATCATAATATTTTATTGTAAGGAAAGGTTGGGGGACAATAACACCATTACACAAAAAATGATTCTCAGTGATCAATTCTTTCGAGGCAAACCTTTGCATTTACGCCATCTGTTACTATCATTAGTATCGTTGATGGCTTGCATTTATGAATTTGTCAGTAGACCAGAGATCTCAAATCGTCCGTGGGCCGCTGGAGGTAGAGTCTGAGTGAGACGGGCCACATCTTTTCAAGTATTACATTTTTCACAAAAAAGTGATTACAAATCTATAAAGCATATGTTACAATCTGCTCAACCTTTGTTAATAACAAAAAAGACCGTTCAAGTTAAAGGTTCTCATGAACTAGGCTTCACTCACTTCCTCCTACTTGTTGCCAGACACCTGGAAGTGCTTCTTCATTCTTCTTACACATTTAGCTTGAGTGAGGAAATAACTGAGACCCTCAGTATAGCCTGAAGATGCACATCAACATCAGTAAGTTTGGCCCTGAACGTTGACTTGTTACAGTACTCCCAAAAAGGCACATAATCTGCTTGAACAACCTGGAAATCTCAGGGTAGGTGGAGTACAAGTCTCTCATAAATTGTCCAAGCTTGTCTTTATTCCGTTGACCTCCCTGAACTTAGCCTTGAGTTTAGAATTGCGTTGAAGATCAAATCGGCTCCATTTTAAGCGCATCTTCCACTGAAGGAGAAAGGGTCAGCAATGTTTTTTAAAGCGGCTCTTTGTATTTTGGAGTCTGCAAATCTGTGATCAAATTTCTTCCTGGAGCTTTGCAATGGCATCAGTACACTTACTACTGAATGATGAATGGTGTGCCATGAGTCCATGAGTACTTTGCATGTTGGGAAATGGCCTAGGTTTCTCTGAGAAAGCTGAGCTTTCCATAACAGGTTTTGTGCAGAATGTCCTTACATTGTCATAGGTAACAATGACAAGCTACCCCTGGCCTTGTAACTTCTTGTTGAGTACATTCAGCTCCTGTGTAAAGTCAACAGGACAAGCCAAGTCTGTGTGCATTTGGGATCACTTAGTAATAGTATAGGAACGACCATGAGGGTTTTGATTTCTACTCTCAGCTAAAGACACCTTTTCAAGAGGTTTCCCCTACTACGTTAACGCACCTCGTTGAAGTAGATAATTAAGGTAACATCCTCATATGCTGACTATTTCTTCTAAAATAGGCGTGGAACTGCTGGTGCTTCAAGCTCCTGTGTCAGATTGCTATGATTCACACACTCCACTTACTGACATTTGTAAACTTTTGATATATGTATAGTATATACAATATTCAAAGTGTGTTTTCTCAAGGGGAAAAAGCTTGGCCCGCATTAACACTAAACTTAACTGTCAGGTATCGGACCGCAAAATATCATTTTGTGGGTCGCGAGTTTGAGACCCCTGCTGTAGACTGTAATTATAATGTCTTTTCTATGATCTCAGCTTAAACTTAACTTTGGCACACAACATCCTGATCTTGTTTAACAACATCCATTCACCAAGTAAGTCATCTCAGAGTGTTATCCTCGAATCGTTCACCGCTATTTGCCCTTCATCAAGATTTGTCCATAATAAAAAAATTGAGGCCAAATGTCAATTTTTTCTACTGGAGGCATTCCAAATCTATTTTTAGGTGCTTTACTAAAGTAAATTTACTTTATTTCTTCTGACTGAGAGTGAGAGCCTGCCCTTCAGTTGTTTTCTAGTGGCTTCTATAACTATATAAATATAAGCTAGCAAATAATTTATGGGCATTTCCAAAAAAGATGGTTAAAAATCACATATGGGACTTAACAATTAAGATGGGTAAAAATGAACATATTGAAATTGCCACAGGTCTTTTCACTGCCTTTTTCTTAGCCATTATGCTATTTTCAAGATGAGAGTGAGGCTGACTCTCCCTCACTTCCAACAAAATAAAGCTGCAGTCTAGGACACTACTTTTGTTGATTATTGCCAGTGCCAGTAATTAATACATGTTACTAATCTATAGTGATGTATAGTATAATGTATGGCTTCCCAATTTAAAAAAAAAAAAATGTTTCCTTATACTTATACACTTACAAACACCATGCGACAGGCTTAATATTAATAGTATAGTAAGTTTTGAGAACATGAGGTCAAAGTATGACAACAATAACTAACTAATTAAGTACAAAACATTGCTGTGTTTTTTTTAAAAATTGAATAGTCTTCTAATAAAATCATGAATTTTACATATTGTTTTAGGTTACATTAGGCTTTTAAAATTTCAGAATAATTAGGGTAATAAGTAAGGGGAGAGATTGCAATCAGGTTAGCAAAATGGGGTAAGGTCAAACCCACAATACTTTTGCTGCCTTCTGTGATACTATTACTAATACTACTACTCAGCTAAGAGCTATTTTTAAAATTTTGTTTCTTCTGTTTGTTCCCTGACCAAGGCTTCCTGCTGACCTTCATTACTATTTTGTTGCGTTCCTTTTTCAGGTTTGACCTTTGTTTTACTCATTTCCTATTCAGAATAATTATTGCAGAAATCAAGCAAAAAATATAGAATGATACCTACACATTCTGCAAAGAAACCCATCATCTTTCAGTTAACAGTACATGGACCTCATGCTATACTTAGGATAATTATAATACTGATTAATTACCGTACCGTGGTAAAATTATCTGACGATCTCCCACTTGAATGTTGATGATTGATGTTTCCTTCAGTCCTTGTTATCACCACAGCATAGAATTGCCGGAGCTGATTTTGAGGCTGCATGACAGCATGGCTCAGACTCAAAGCGCCCCCCTTGTAAATTGTTCTACTTTTTGTACAAGGTGCAATGTAGAGAGGACATTTGCTGACATAGATTTTATAACCAGGGTATTATGTAAAATCCTAGGCCTTGTGATTTTGTCCTCCAAGTACCACTCCAACGCCTCATTTAAACTAAAACTGACGGATGCCAAAATAAAAACTAAAACAAGTTGAATAATACAAAAAAAACCTTTTACAAGCATGGTTTTCACATTGTACTTTGTAATACTTCATGCTATAAATATAATTATTTATAATAACAGTGAATGTAGTACAGTTGAATGAGTAATTAAAAGTAGTAATGACTGTCAATAGAATTAATGGACTAAATTAATTGGAAATGAATGGCAATAACACATTTTGGAATTATTCAGGTTTTAAATTTTAATTATTAATAATGATTTATAATAATATAAATTTATAACATAATGTAAAATAATAAGTACCGTATATAATAAGTCATTGTTTTTAATTAAAATTTGTAACAAAATATCATAACTTAAAATTAAGATTTTAAAAAAGTATCCCCATCCCCCAAAATAAAAATAAAAAGCCTTCAGTCACTTCAGTGCTACTGCTACCCTTGTTTCAAGAATTTAACAGCAATTCACGTGATGTTAGTACCGGTACCGTAACATTGCTACTGGAAATAAGTTGAAATTATTTTGAGCTGAATAATTTTAACTACTGTTTCAGGTACGGGTATTGGGATTATGCATAAATGACAACTTTAATTTATTGTATTAAGTGAATGATAAATAAAATAGTTTTTCCAACACCATTAAAAGTATCTCAGATTTTGAGACACCAATGCATGATAATATTATTAATACATACCCCTCCTTATCTTCAACAATTTGAATTCTACATACCCGGGCTGGATTTTTTTTTTGCAACTAGTAACAGGCCTAGAGTTTTAAGGCCAGGTGAAAATTGTTGGTAGTAATTGTAGCAACCGTTTCTACTCCCCTTTTCTCCAAGAGCCCAAAAATTTCTGGCCATGGGTTACTTGGCCTTACTGACTTGCTTGTCATGTAGCATAGGTACGAGGAAAAAAACTAATTAAATGATTAGACTGTACTTTTATACATAAGTTATTATGTGTACGGTACAAATTAACAAATCATTAATATATTATAAAAAGGAAAGATGCAGAACTTGTATTAATGGGCACAGGTATGTTAGTTTTGTTTCTTTCAGTGTTGTACAAAACTGCCTCCCCAAACACTAAAACTCAGCTTATTTTTCAAAATCTAGGGATTAATAAATTAAATTTTTTTTTTCAATTGATGTCATCATATTTTAATACTGAGTATCAATGAGAGGAGATTTTGAAGAATATTGTATATTATAATTTCGGTACCGGTACATTACACAATATTCCTTCAAATAATTACATGTGCAAATATACAAATACAATTATAGGTATATTCATTAAAAATATAATATGATACACACAGACTAGCATGTACATTTTTAGATTTAGATTTTTAATTAGTGAACAAGTAAAATACACTACCGCACAGGAAACAAAAGATGAGGGAAAACAACATGTAGCTGAAAACTAAATCCCATTGAGTAAAAATTGTTCTAAGAAGGGTCAGTGGTACTGTACAGGTCTAATGCTATTTTAAAAAATCTGGTACAATCTAATCTTTATCTATTTTATTTTTTTAATAATGATTCATAAAAAAAATAAACAGTTTGTTACCGGTACTCCAGACCACGAACACCTGTAGTAATAGATAAATTAAAACTCTCCTTTTGTTGTATATCAAAACCAAATTTGAAAGAGAATGTTAGTCAAATTTGTTTGAAAATGTTCGAAAAAATCCTAGCTCAACCTTAATCACAGCAACAGAAATAATATACTGTTAAAATTATCACACCGAGAATCAGTAAGAAACACTTCAACAAATTCATCTTTGTATGTACATGAAAATCATCCCTAAAGGATATGTTTGGAACTGGGAATATTAATATTAAATCTTTTAAAGAAATATTAGATATACCACCTTTTTAGTTTTGTTATTATATTTATATATATAAAAGAGCTAACATTTCTTAAATTAATTAAGATGCAAAAAATATTGTAACTATCTATAAGAAGTTTTTTCTTTTCTTCTGGTGGTACTTCAAAACTTCTGCTACAATTACTATTTGCAAAGCGCTTTTAAAGTTTTTCCTTTTTTTAACTTTAAGTCATAGATGATAGCTTAAAATACTTAGTCTTCTGTAAAAGAGCTTCTATGCTTACCCATCATAGATACAGATAGTATCAGGTATTGTTTGGTATAAAGTAACAGAAAATAAGTTGATCTTTAATCAATATTACAGTAATAGTGCATTTCTCATATGCAAAAAACAAAATCAATTTTTATTCTTTCTACTGCATGAATCAAATATAAACAAAGTAGGTAACAAGATCAAATTGTTACAAGCAATGGAATTTCTTGTGAAGAGTGGTGACGATTTCACACAATACATTGAAGTATACCTTCCTGTACTTAAAAATGATCAATACAATTTTATGTTAAAAAAACAAAATACATAAGAAAGAGTAAATACATGGCAAGCTACAGATTCATGAACTTGGGCAAATTAATACTTGTTAATAAACAGTGGCGTAGGAAGGGAAGTGTGGAGGAGGAGACAAGTTTTTCTTAATATAGAAGGGTGAAATTTTCAACCAACTGCAGTTTTTTTTTTATGGAAAGTGGGCAGCAGAATTCTTATTGGAACTAACCCTCACTACGGCACTGCTTACAACCTGTTTTGATTACTTATTTGTGATAAACACTTTTACACCAGAGGTTGTTTTAGGACTGGCCACTGTAGGGTGGGGGTTTCTGTAAAAAAATAATTGAAAACAGGAAGTTTGTTTTAAAGATTCCACATGCAGTGTTTTGTTTTAAATGGATATACATTTTTAGAACTAAGCTCTAAACAATGTTTACTGTATGTGCTTCGATTTTTAAGATCCCAATAGCTTGTTAGATGATTCATTCATTCCTGAATGTTTAAACTAAATGCATATTTCAGGCATCCAACACACACCTCTCATTGTTATTTAAAAGTAGGAATGAAATCACAAGTCCCTAGAGACTTTGCAGATGGCATAATATTTATAAAGAAACATAATTTTTTTTACTCTGTTTCGTTTTAATCTACACACATGTTAGTATCTGTCCAATGTGCCAAAATCAAGTTTTTTTTGTGGTACTCATTTATTTTTCAGAAAATAATGCTAAATTTATCTAAAACCTAATCCATATTTGGATGACTTTGTCTTTAGTTTGTTAAAATTACTTCTTTTTCAGTCATTTCAGCAGCTAGCAAAATCTGAGTTACCCCTCTTTGTTCATACTGTTAAGGAAGTCTAAGGGGCAGGCAGGAACAAGTCAAGGATATTGACAAGTATTACTTATTAACTTAAGGAAATAACAAAAGTCAATAAATTCAGAATATATCATTGACATGTTTTCATTAATGCTTTTTTCAAAATACCAAATAATACTTTTATTTTATTGTGTTTTGGAATGCATACATAGAAACTTAACTCACCTGAGGCTGAGAATAACTTGGTGGGGCTGCGTAGCCGGGTGGGGCATAATAGCCTGGCGGGGCAACAGCGCCAGATGGAGGCATAGCAGGTGCGCCTTGAGTAGCAGCAGATGTTGTTGTATTGGAATGGACAACTGTTCCATAGCCTGGGTATTGGGAATCAGCCATGACAACATATCTGTACTGGGCCCTTCGCCTACGCCAACATGCAAGACCACATGCAAGCGCAAGGAAGAAGATGATAACCCAAATGAGCCAGAACCCTGTGAGTTAAAAAATAAATAATTCAAGTTCAGGCAGTTCAACAGCATTCATTTAAAAATACTTATCATACTTGTGGCATTATATTGATCTTTGTTAAATTAATTTTAAAAAGAAATAAGGTTAACATATAGTTTTTTGTCTCTTAGTTTCACCCAGAATACATTGAATACTGGTACAGAAAATATTAATGTTTTTTTTTTCAGAAGCAATAAAGTGGAGTGTGATTTAGACATAGAGTACAATATATTCTACTCTTTTTTGCTTGAGGCCCACAAACATTTTATTTAGCTCTGTAGCCCCCTTCCCTGTTCATATTAAAAAAACCTGATCTTTTTATATACAAGAAGTCCTTTTTTTCAAAGTTTTGTGTCACCTTAACAAATTTGCCAAAGTTCAGAAACACTGCTTTCATGTATAGTGAATTAACCGTAAGGCACTATGAAAAATGGTCAGCTGACT